AAAAGCAGATTTTTGTGATTTTTTAAAAAATTTATTTATTTATTTATTTATTTATTATTTTATTTTATTTATTTATTGTGGCTGGGTTTTGCTGGAGGAATTTTGAAGCAGTTAAAACGTGGAATGTTTGCGGGGGGATTTTCACAACAGGTCAGGTCCCACCATGGGGAAATCCAGGTGGATCTGGGGAGGCATTTCAGGACCTGGCCTTCACCCCACGCTTCTCAAGAACCCAAACCTCCCCCGGGATCCTTCCCAGCTCCTCTCCGGGGCTCCCCTGCCCTGGGAACGCTCCCGGCTGACTCGGCAGGTGAAGCAGCACGGCGGCGGCAGGGGCGGCTGCAGGGGAGGGCACGGCACCGGAGCGAGCTCCACACGACTGGGGTGGGATCCATGGGATCCATGGGATCCATGGGATGGGATTGGGATCCTTGGGATGGGATCCATGGGATAGGATCCATGGGATGGGATTGGGATCCTTGGGATGGGATCCATGGGATGGGATGGGATGGAATCCATGGGATGGGATCAGTGGGATGGGATGGGATCCATGGGATGGGATCCATGGGATGGGATCGATGGGATGGGATCCATGGGATGGGATCCATGGGATGGGATCCATGGGATGGGATCCATGGGATGGGATTGGCATCCTTGGGATGGGATCCGTGGGATCCATGGGATGGGATCAGTGGGATGGGATCCGTGGGATCCATGGGATGGGATCAGTGGGATGGGATCCATGGGATGGGATCCATGGGATGGGATGGGATTGGGATGGGATGGGATGGATGGATGGATGGATGGATGGATGGATGGATGGATGGGGCAGCCAGACAGGGCAGATTCCAGCCCAGAGGATCCAGGCAGGGTGAGTTCCAGCCCAGGAGGAGCCGAGCACGTCCTCGGGGACAGCCAAGGGACAGGCAGGGGACACCGCGGGGCTCTTCCCCCCGACCCCCCCACGGTGGTGGAATGCTGCGCTCCCAGGCCGGAGGATTCCTGGGAGCTGCCGCCGGCCCGGCTGGAGCGGATCCCTCCTGCTTGTGGTTTGCTATAGGAACACGGAGCTGGCTGGAGATGAATCAGCACCGTTCCCCTGGGCCCTTGCCCCTGCTGAACCCTCTCTGTGCTCACGGGAACTCGCTTTCTCCTTCCTCTCGTCCCCTCCTCCTTCTGTTCCTACTTCTATTTCTCCCTCTCCCTCCTCTTCCTTCTCCTCCTCCTCCCACTCCTCTTGCTTCTTCTCCTCCTTGTCTTCCTCCTCCTTCATTTCCTCCTCCTCACTGGCTCTTCTCTCTCCTCTCCTCCTCCCTCCCTCCTCCTCTTCCTCCTTCATCTCCTCCTCCCTCTCTCTCTTCTCCCACTTCTCCTTCTCTTCCTCCTCCTCCTTCTTTCTCTCCTTCTCCTCCTCCTCCTCCTCCTCCTTCTCTCTCTCCCCCTCCCTCTCCCCTTCCCCTTCCTCCCTTCACTTTGGCGTTCCCAAAATCTCCGATTCCAGCCGCGGGGCTGTGGGAGCGCTGCTCAGCCCAGCGGAGACACGGCGGGAGCTGCCAGGAAACGGCGTCCGAAAAAGGCAGGGGGAGGATCCGGCCTGCCGAGCGGCAGCGCCGTAAATCCCAGAAATCCCAGAAATCCCAGAAATCCCAAAAATCCCAGAAATCCCAGAAATCCCAGAAATCCCAGAAATCCCAGCAATCCCAGCCCCGCAGGACTGCTCCCGCTCCTGTCAAACCCCGGGAGGGAAGGACCGGGATTGGGGTCGTGCCTCCCGCCCGGTCCTGGGGCGCTGGCCCGGCTCCCACTGGGAGAGCGCCCAAATCCCAGAGCTGAGCTCCTCGGGGCGTGCCAGAGGGTGGAGATCCATCCCCAGGACACCATCCCAACCCCATGGACAACATGATCCCAGCCCCATGGACACCATGATCCCAACCCCATGGACACCATCCCAACCCCATGGACAACATGATCCCAGCCCCATGGACACCATGATCCCAGCCCCATGGACACCATCCCAACCCCATGGACACCATGATCCCAGCCCCATGGACACCATGATCCCAACCCATGGACACCATCCCAACCCCATGGACACCATGATCCCAGCCCCATGGACACCATGATCTCAGCCCCATAAACACCATCCCAACCCCTTGGACACCATGATCCCAGCCCCATGGACACCATGATCCCAGCCCCATGGACACCATCCCAACCCCATGGACAACATGATCCCAACCCATGGACACCATCCCAGTCCCATGGACACCATGATCCCAACCCCATGGACACCATGATCGCAGTCCCATGGACACCATCCCAGCCCCATGGACACTATGATCCCAGCCCCATGGACACCATCCCAGCCCCATGGACACCATCCCAATCCCATGGACACCATGATTCCAGTCCCATGGACACCATCCCAACCCCATGGAGACCATCCCAACCTCATGGGACATGATGATCTCAATCCCATGGGACACCATCCCAACCCCATGGACACCATCCCA